ATCAGGAGGATCTGGGTTTGAAGCCAGCCCGGGCAAATAGTTCGTGAGACTCTATCTTGAAAATACCTAACACAAAAAAAGGGCTGGTGGAGTGGCTCAAGGTGTAGGCCTTGAGTTCAAGCCCCAGTACCACAAAGAAAAGAAAAATACACCAAATATGTGAGGGCTATACTTACCAATTAAAGTTAAAAGATAAATGGGAGGATCTGGTCAAAACAAACAAACAAATCCTGCCTCTATGGTATTTACAAAAGCTCACCTAAAACAGAAAGACTTGTAAAAATTGAAAGTAAAATGATTGAGAAGTAGATACCAGGCAAATGCCAACCAAAACAAAATCAAGGGAGCTAGATTAGTATCAGGTTAAATTAAATTTCTCCATAAACTAGGGGACTCAGAAGCTAGGTGATAATGCTTGTAGCCATAGGAGGTTATCGTTAATAGAGAGAGCGCAGCTCTGTTCAATAGAAGTTACTGCAATGACCAGAATGTTCTGTACCTGTGCAATCCAATACAGTGGCCACCAGCCACCTGTGGCTACTGAGCACATGAAATGTGGTTAAGCTAACTGGGAATCTCAGTTTTAAATTTAACTTTAAAACATTTCAATTTAAAGAGTCATAACCCTGGAGATCAATTACTCCAACCCTCATAGAAGAGGGCAGAAGCTATCCAGTGTCCCAAAGGAAATCACAACCAAAATTGAGGTCTTTTGATTCCTAATTAGCATGCTTTTCTAGTATCCTAAGTCTTCCCAAGCTGATCTACATCAGTAACTAAAAGTCTACAGGTATAACACAAAACAATTCATTGCATATACAAATTCGAGAATTCATATTAAAATACATTGGAATTTTTCATAGTAATAATAATCATCATAATTTATTGAATGCTTAGTTTATGTGATAATCAGGATAAAGATATAACAACAGTGATAGTGACTGACACATGGCATTTATCATGTACCACTTTTTTAATACTTTTACATGTATTAACTTGTTTAATATGCACAACAACCTAATGAGGTACAAACTCTAATTATTCACACCCGTCCTTTTTGTGTGTACTGGGGTTTTGAACTCAGGGCCCTGTGCTTGCAAGGCAGGCAGTCTACCACTTGAGAAATTCTGCCAGCCCTTTTTTTGGTGTCTTGGTTATTTTAGAGATAGGATCTCGCTTTATGCCTAGACCAGCCTGAACTGCCATTCTCCTACTTGTGCTTCCCAGAGTAGCTGGGGATGAGAGGCATGTGCCACTTCCCAGACTAATTATCCCTTTTTTATACATAAGGAAACCGAAGTTGAATAGTATGCCCAAAGTTACATTGCCTGTAAGTGGCAAAACTGGGACAAGAACACAGGTGGTTGGATTCCAGAGTCTATAGGTATAACCATTCACTATAATTTACTGTCTTTAGCAAAGATTAAATGAATAAATGAATGAAGAAATGCAGCTTCGCCAAAGTAGAATGACAACACTACTTCAGATGTGGAAAACTTGGGTCCATTTCTTTCCCCCAAAAAAGAACTCAAACAGGTACAGTGTTTACCTTGTTACTAAAATCATCACTCTCCAGAACCTCCTTACTTACACTCATGCCAGCAGGGAACATCAGAAGACAGTCCAGTTTCTGTCACCTGAGTAGCTAATTAATTTATGCCTGTTATCTACAAAGCTAAAGTTTCCCATGTCAACAGCTCAACATTTTTTTAGAAAGAAAAGCAACCATTTCTAAATGCAGTGTTTATGTCAGAACTTCCAAGTTTTTAATCCTAAAAATTGTTTTAATGAGTGTAAGCTAAAGACATCAGAAAGTATTATCTACCCCATCCCAATTGATAAAATCTAAGTAACAAATGGTCAAAATGTCAGAGTTGGCAGCCAAGCCTCTAAAACAGGGAACACTGTCTATACCAGAAAGGTAGAATAACACAGTGCTAAATAATGTCTATCTGCAGTCAGACATGAGTTGGAATCCTAGTTCTGCCACTCACTGTTTTCACAAATGCAAAATATGGCTAATAAAAATATTTGTCCCATAGGGTTGTTATGAATGTGAATAGAACACCAAGCAGAAGGTAAACACTTCATAAGCATTAATGCCAAATTTTTTATTCCAGTGTCAAATTTTTATTCTAGAGTTGATGAAGTCCTCCATTTCTGGTTCAGGCAGGAGGGCATGTGACTTGCCTCCACTGATGGCTTTCTAGTTTCTCCCTTTGCAGTGACAGGCCAGAGGCGTCCACTGGTTAAGACACTGGCTCTGGGACTGCTATTCTATCTAGTCCACTGACTAGCTGTATGACTCCTATGCCTCACTTTAGGCTGTACTAATATTTCCGTGAAATGGGGGTTGATGATAAAAATATCATATATATATAATATATATATATATATATATAATGTTCAGGATTATTATGAGCATTAAAGTAGTTAGTACATGAAAAATGCACAGATCAGTGTCTGAAAATAGTGTATTTACAGTAAATGTTAATTACACTTCTTCCCATAGGATATAGTCTAAATTTTTAGGTCATAGAGAACAATGAAATTATTTTAGACCTTTAAAATGTTAAGAGTTGAAGGGTCCTTAAGAATCATTTCTAGTTCAATTCTCTCATTTAATAAACAGTTACCAGGTAAGAACAGAACTGGCTTATTAGTTTCCATCTAGTGCCACTCTACACTACTATGCTTCTTAATGAAAACAGTGGGTGTCATTCAGTCTCTTCTCTCTGCAAACCATCAAGTTATTTTCTAAGTAATCAGAGCTACTTAGACATCTGGGAAGATATCTTACCAAAATTTTCAGGAAGGTGGTATGAATAGAGCATAATCTATGTCCAAAGACCCCATATGTAAGAGATACATAAAACAAAAGTTAAAAAAGTTTAAAGTATTAATTCCTTTTAGCAATTTTTCCAAAAGAGGAAATAATACCAGTTAACATTTACTAAATACTTTCTAAGTGTGTGATATGATATTAAGTATCTGTTGTTTTTTTTATCAAATCAATCTAACAGCCATTGTAAGGCTAGATGAAAAGATGCCATGTATTTCCACCTTGCTTCCTTGTAGCACCCACTCTTGGGATCTAGCTTTTATTCTATAGAGAAACCTATACTTGGGTGCAGAAAGATCATATAGAGGTAACCTCCTCAGTAGAGGAGGATGACAACTACACAGGACTTGCTATCTAACTAAGAATTTTTTTTCCCCCTAAAAGCCAGTATATTGTAGCTTTTTTTTCCTTGTTTTTCTTTTTTGCAGCATTGGGGTTTGAACTCAGGGCCTCATGCTTGGCAGGTAGGCGCTCTTACAGCTCAATCCATTCTACCAGCCCTCTAACAAAGAATTGATACCAAATGCAACACTCCAAAGTACTACCTAGACCTGATACAGTACTTGGAACACAGAAAAGTATTTGTTGAGTGGCTAAGGTGGTTATTATTATACCCATTTTGCAACAGAGGAAGTGAGGCTGTGAGTGGTTAAGTCACTGGCCTAAGGCATTTCAACTAGTCATTGTTAGAATGCAGTAAAACTCAGACCTACATCCATGTTCTAACACTATACTCTTCTGTCTCCTTTGGCACTTATAATTTTATTCTAAATACTCAGTAAGTAGCCTGTTTTACAATGGGATTCTCAGTATTTAAAACATTCTGGCCTGATAGGATTCACTGTGCAGCTTCACCATTTCTATCACAAATGGAAAACCACACATTGCCTTGTCAGAAAATTTCCCTGACCTTCTTAATGGAAGTAATGCCAGTTCTCTCATCTCCTCAGCCTTTCTATTTCCTACTCTATCATACTTTCTACCCTTATCTGAAATTGTCTTATTAATTTTTTCATCAGTCTATGCTTCTCTCCACCCCCTTCCTGACTTGAATATAAGCTCCATGAGAGCAGGAATAACGTCTGTCCTGTACATTGCTGTGTCCCTAGTACCCAAGACAGAGCCTGAAATATGGTAGATGATCAAAAATTATTTACTGACTGGAGTGATTGCATTCAGGTCCACTGAATGTCAACCCAATTTCATTACCAACCACTAAATGTGAAAATGAGGATGATAGAAAACACAATTAGGCTTGGGGCATGGCTCAAGTGGTGTAGTGCCTGCCTAGAAAGCGCAAGGTTCTGCGTTCAAACCCCAGTACGCAAAGAAAACAAAAAAATCCACAAATTAAAAACTGTACGATTTCAGACCACGTAAAGTCAGTTAAAAAAAAGGAAGCGAGTTGGGAACCCATCTGCACTTCTCCCATCAGAAAAAGCATAAACCCTGAGTTCACAGTCAATCCAACTTTAATAAAAGTTGGTGAGGAGAAAAGTGGTCAAACTTAGACTGAAGATGCATGTAATGGAATCGAGAAGAGGTGCTTAAACCTCGTAAATTCCATGCACAACCACTGATCCCTCCCTCCTCAAAAAAAAAAAAAAAAAATCCAGTTTCTACCAATACACTGGCTGAGCCACACTAAGGACAACTATTGGTGACCCTCTAACAACAGATCTCCAGTCTTTCATTCAGCCCCTTCTTATGCATTTCCCTAGGACACAGTTGGTGTTTCCCCAAGACGAGGAGGCTCTTTTAAGGAAAAGAAAGGAATCTTCAGACCCAGGGGCAAGAGTCTCTGCAGGTGCAGGTTCTAGCGACCTTTTTCTTTTGGGAGAGAAGGTGATCTTTCCAGACAGCCCACCAAGTGAGTAGCACTATGCTGGGCTCTTAAACATGCTTGTCCTAATTTAAGGGCCATTTCTTTTCCCCAATCCAAGAAGTAATTAAGCGAGCTCTCAAGTACTACTTCCCTATCTTAATCTTTCCCAGACCCGCTACTCACTGTCCCAAGAAATCTTAAAAGTCCCAAAGAACGGTTAGGGAAGATGAAAAGGAATCCTGGCGTGGCCTAAGAGAAAACGAGACGGGAAGAGTGTTAGGGCAAGAAGAGGGTTGTACCCGGGATCAGTAAAGATTAAGAACGCGGTCTGACCCTTTCCAAGCCCAATGTGTCCATCTGAAAAGGTGACGAGGAGCAGGAGACTGAAACCCAGCAAACAGGTGGCCCCGAGACGAAGCCACATCTCCACGGCGGTAGGTGCGCAGGGCGAGCGAACTGAGCAGACGCAGGGCCGTATTCCGAGCAGAAGGTCGGCTCCGCTCCCCAACCGCAACTCAGCCCAACCTCTCGCGTTCCCAGATTTTTTTTTTTTTTTTTTCAAACTGTGAAGGAAGTGATGTTAGACGGATGTGGGTGGTGCCTCCGGGGTCCGGCTCGGAATAGAATGAGTTTAAAGGTGCAGATCACATTGCTGCATGGCGGGAGTTCTTGAGCGCGAGTTGCTTTCCCTTGGTCCTAGGATGTCGAGGCCCGGGGACATGATGGAAAAAAGGTAGCGACACAGTGGGGGCGGGGGGGGGTTCAGAAGAACCATTGCTAATTGCATCTGCCAGCCGCACCAGCCCCTCCCGCCGAGAACCGCGACATTTAATATTCAAAATGCAAACTATTGACCTGTGAGGTCAGCCTCTTCCAAATGTGGGCGGGTCGCTCGTAGGCCTTGAATTCCCCTTCACTCTCCAGACCAAAAAAAAAAAAAAAAAAAAAAAAAAAAGGATTGGGCAACTGGATTTTGTTGTTAGGTTCCAGCGTAGGTCCTGGAAGATACCTGGTAAACCGGTTCTGTGGTGCAGTCTCGTGCCTTGCAGGCATGTACTTCCAGGTGCTGGGCCTTATTTTTCTTTGCAAACGCAAGTCGTCCACTCAGGTATGATGCAACCAACTGATGCAAGCTCCAAGAAAACCAGTTTTGAGGCCTTTATTACAAAACTAACTAGGTGGAACCAGGTCATAAGTCACTGCAGGCATTTAAAGTATGAGGCTTCTTTCTGTTAAGACTGTTCGTGTTGTGAGTTTAGTGTCTCTTCCCAGTTTGCCCCTCTGCCACATAACACATCAAAATTTTTTATCTTTCCTCTGGGTGCTAGTTGAATCCAACAGGGAGTACTTAATGCACAGTGAAAGACATCCGGACAAAGTGCACAACCAAACAAAAATCACAGGCCACCCTTTTATTAGGTTCGGAGAAACTGTAAACGCACACAATGGAAGGCTTACATCCTGGATGCAGCACGGCCCCTGCACCTGCCACCAATAGAAATATTGGGGTGCGCAGAGCAGGCTGGGCTTTGTAGTTGGGAGGTGCGCGCCGGGGATAGGCCACCGAAGGGAGAGGCGGGGCCGCCGTGTCACGTGGGTCCCACTCCCGCCGCCGCCGCTGCCGTCTTTCTCTGTCTGGACTGAGGCAGCCATCTTGCTCTTGCCGCGTGCTGGTGTTGGAGGACCCTCCCAGCTTCAGGTGAGACCCCCGGCGGTCCCGCCACTCCACGGCCATAGGCCGCTGCGCACGGTCTCCCCCGCCCTCTTCTTCCGACACCCGCCAACCTCTTGGGCTGCCACTTCCGCCGTGGCGCGGAGAGTGGGGGCGGAGGCGGCTGGATTGGCCTGTCGGTTACCGGCGGCGCAGCTGGGGGTCGGCACCTGAGGGACGGTCCCCAGTACCACCGCCCCATGTGGAGGCGAGCGGGCCTATGCTGCTGCCTCCGAGATCCAGTCCCATCCCCCTCCTTTATCCTATTACCCATTATTCACAACAACAATGTCATTAAGCTTCAAGCCTTATACAGCTTATCTGTGATCATCTCATTTGATTCTTCCGGTCTACAGATAGGGAAACTGAGGTTAGCACCCCCACCTACGTCCTTGGGACCGTACTGAATTGTAGCGTTCTTCACCTTGTAATGGCAGTATTTGTTTACAATCTGTTTTGTAAACATTTGAGAAAGTAGCGCCCACTTACAACCCCACAATACTGCCTGATGATTGACCGACAGGTAGAGTGTTAAACAGCTAGTGAATGGTGGTTTCAACTTCCGTTCCCACGTTTTTTCACTATATCTTAGTTGTTCCCTCGGGAGTGGTTACAAAGTTACAAATATTCAGTATCTTTTGTAAGCTATACCCTGTACTTTATGATTTAACTTTTAACCCTCAGAACAGCCTGTGAAATAAATGGTATTGAACCTTTTCTTAATACAGGAGAAAACACAGATGCAAAGAAGTAAAATACCTTTCTGGAGCCTTAAGTGATAGAACTTTGGTCTTTCTGATCCTACAAACTGTTCCTCTTAGAGAAACCTCACATAATAAAAAGTCAGGACTAAAGGTTCAAAGTATTTTTAACCTCTGTGTAAACATGATGTATATGAAAATGCCTACCAGAATGCTTGGAATCTAGGCAGTCAATATTAACTTCATTATTTATACTCTTTCTTTGAGTCCTTGAAAGTGCTAAAAGATCCTTGAATCCCCAAGGCAGAACTCATTGATCATGTAGCCTTAGGAAGTTACTTCTTTTGGCTCCTAGCAAAGAATCTCTCCCTTCCAGGCTCTCATTTTTGTTAATTTATTATTTTTATTTTTGCGGTTCTGGGGTTTGAACTCAGGGCCTGGAGCTTGCTAGGCAGGCAACTCTTATCTCTTGAGCCACACCCCCAACCCTCTCATTTTCATTAAATTGGGTAAGAGGTGAACTGTTTATAATTTATGCTCTGCTGCTGCTAGCAGGTATTTGAGATGCCCTCACATAAATCATGAATGACAGGTACAATAAAGTAAAGATTGAAGAATAGGGAATTAAAGCAGGTGATCTTTGAGGTCTGCTGCAGATTCTGAGCTTGACATCTCCAGGCCTCTTTGTTATTTGAATTCCATATACCCCAACTTTGCTAATAGACAAAAGACCACATTTCTTCCTCCTCCCCTGCTTTGAGCTTCCAACCTCCTTCAAATGTGTTTTCTGTAAGGTACTACTTGGAAATAAAATTACTCAATTCTGTTATCCTCACCACCTGGAATGAAATCAGTTCTTTGAGCTCCACATTGATGTAAAGAGTTAATTTTGTTCTTGCTTTTTTTTCAAGCAAGTCAGGACTCTTGTCTTGACTTATATTACTTCTCTTGGGGATTGTTACTTCAAAATGCAGAAGAGTCCCTTTACCCTGTGTTTAGTTCTAATCTTTTCACTTGGCTCCCATTTTGCAAGAAATTCCTTAAGTACTTTGTTAGTTCACTACACCTGTATGGCCACATTCCTTTGAGAAAAGTGAATATTGGTCCTTTTCTGTGGATATTTGAGAAGCAAGATTGAGATTTACATCAGCAAATTTAAGTCTGTGGCAGAACTAAGATTGACACATACCTAAGACTTACTGTTTTGGATTATACACAGCTCCTCCCATAAAAGCTCCTTGAGTGTTGTGATATAATGCTGAACAAAGAGTGAAAAATCATTGATTCTAATTGTTATTTGAGAACTGGACTTTAGCCTTAAAGCAGATATATATACTATATATATATATAAACAGTATATATTAGTACCTAAATTCAGAATGGTCAGTAATTATATAATCTTTGTTTCTCTTTTTTATCCTTCAAATGTAGAAAACTGTCTTTTTCATTTGAGTGATGATCATGCAGGGGTTAGAGAATTGGTCAGAAGAGGTTTATTGACAGCCTAGTCCCTTATTTCCTCCCTCACATCTCAGTAATATCTGTTAAGTCACAGAACAAATCAAACAAGACTTTTAAATTGTTTTACTTGTTTATGTAGTGTGGAATGTTATGACCCATTATAAGCTTAAGGATGTTGTTTTCCTTAGTAGGAATATCATTGACCAGACTAGAATTAATGATTTTATCATTTTCTTAGAATCTTCAAAAGCAAGATTTGCAGTATAAAAGCTTATTTTTAAGAGCCCTCTCCCAATTTAGTATTCATGTAGCCAAGATACAATTTTTGTCAAATTGTGCAGTGAAGCATTTTACCCTATAGGCAAGAATATTTTGTCAAGTATTAAATCCTACATCAGTGCAAGGTATTAAATGAATTCTGGAGAGCTGGAGAAGCACTGCATATTTGGAAATTTGGTACTGTTTCCCCATTATTAACATACCATCTGACCTTGAATAGAGGACAGAACTATTTCACATATTGACAGCATATTATTGAATTTTTTTCCCAGTCCTTTTTTTTTCCCCCTTGTTTTTGATGTCTTTATGAAATACAGAATGTGATTTGGGAGAAAATTATCTTGAAGGTTTTGCTAATAACATTTGGTTACAGTTCTCTGCTATAAGTCTGTGGGAGAAAAAAAACATCTGCCTACAGATATTTCATAATTGGCTAGGTTTTTACTGAATACCAAAGAACTGAATCATATTTTAAGGAGGGATCTTCAAATAGATGACTCTGAGTCCTTTTTTTTTTTTTTAAATAGTGCTGGGAATCCAACCAAGGGCCTTGTGCATGCTAGGCAAGTACTCTACTACTAAGCTACATCCCCCTGCCCCATTCTTTTTCTCTGTTTGTGTATTTCACTCCATTGTGGTACTTTAATTTTACTTTTTCAAATACCTGGTTTATGAAGCTAGAACAAGTTATTAATATTTATTCAGAATATAGACCATATTAATATGATCATGTTGTTAATGCGTACTGCAAGCTGAGTGAACCAGAAGGTACTGTTTGCATAAGCAGATTTTTTTTTCTTATAAATTTAAAAACAGTGACTTTAACAAATCTATTTTTCCCCCCCTAGATTTATCAACAGCATGAATCAAGAAAAGTTAGCCAAACTTCAGGCTCAGGTCCGGATAGGGGGCAAGGTGAGTGTGGTATAAGAAAATTGATAGGAGAATGTATGATTACCAGGTAGTACTACTATTTGGATTTGTGGTCATTAAAAATGTAAAATCTTTTCAGTAATCAAGATAAAACCACATTCCAATTTGAAAATAATTTGTCTAGATCTAAAACAGGTAACTAGAAGAGTTTATTCTCTGATGATGCAATGGAAATAGCCATCTTTGTTTGAATCCTAACTTTCAGTATCTTCTAGTTTTGTGATATGAACAAATTACCCAACCTTGCTATGCTTCTGTTTTTTCATCTGCAAAATAGAAATAATCCTGAAAGATGTTTCTAAAAATTCAAGTAATATTTATAAAACAGGTAACACTGTGTCTGGTACAGGGTAGATGCTTAATAAATGATAATTATTTTATACTCACCTGTTGGCCATGCCAGATGTTACGGTTACCTTATCATGATATTACCTACCAG